ACCACCCCCCAAAAAAAAATTAATTAAAAAATCCTCACACAAGAATCGAATTCAGGTCTTCTGCGTGCCACTTCCAAGCATGGGCGTGTGGATGGGTAGGTCCCGTCTCTCAAACAAGCCAAATGTTGCCAAAAGTGCCCCCCCCCCCAAACCCCCCCACCAAAACAACAACAAACAAACAAAACAACCCCCCACCCCCCAAAAAAAGCAACAGAAACAATAAATACAAAATGCATCTTGACTTTCAAGACAGTAAAATGGTGGCTACCAGATGGGAAGTACGTAACCTCTCCACCGCCTGCTACCCCCCCTAATAAAGCATCAACAACAAAAACAAAAATCAAGAACAAAAACAAACCCAACCCCCTCCTTTTTTCAATGAATCCCATCAGGGAAAGAACTCAGATGTAGAGACAGTACGTGACCAAGCCGAAGAAACAGGGATCAAGACAGTCACTCGCTCACCTCAAACAACTTCAGGGAAAATTGTAGCGGCTTGACATACCGAGGTAAACAGGTCGTGGCAACAGTAACACACGCACCCACACACACACACACACACACACACACACACACACACATCCACACACACACAGACACACACACACACGCACACACACATACAGAGAGAGAGAGAGAGAGAGAGGGAGAGGGAGAGGGAGGGAGAGAGAGAGAGAGAGAGAGAGAGAGAGAGAGAGAGAGAGAGAGAGAGAGAGAGAGAGAGAGAGAGAGAGAGAGAGAGAGAGAGAGAGAGAGCCAGGGCAGCAGAGTCAGGAATAAAAAAGTGAGAGCACAGAGGGGGAAAAGGGGGGAGCAAAAAGTGAGAAAATTTCAGAGCAGAACATTGTTCGTCGGAGTCAGGTTTCAAACTTTACCTTGTGAATGAGAGGCGAACAGCATACCTGTAGACCACGACAGCCCCTTAAAATATGTCAACCTCATTTTCCCACGGCGATGCAGCGACGGTCATGCGGCCCGGCGGAGAGCCAAGACCGCAGATGTGTGTATCAGGTCACGTAAGCCCCGAAAGAGGAGAGGGTTAAAGTCAATTCTACCATTTTTCCCCCCGTTTGTTTTTGTAAAGTGTTTTACGGCGCAATAAGGTCATATGAACGCGCGGGACACACCTAATATTTTCAGTTGGTAGGACATTTTGAATTTTGCCCGGGTGGCGGCCGAAGCCTACTCTTATCGACTTTAGACCACCAACGGATCTTTAACGTGCGCAACTTGCACACGGGCCCTCCGAGATTTTTCGCCCTTGTCCGAGAAGGCTAGGTGTAGATCTTTCCTACCAGCAGTTCAGGGGTGTGGCTGAAAGACAGCAGTAAGAAGAAGCGAAGGAGTAGCAGTAGAAAGGCTGCAGAAAGAATCAGGAGCCCAGAGGAAGGGGCAAAGGAGGTGAGGGGGTGGGGGCAGAAAGAGGAGACGAAAGCAGACGACAGAACATTGCTAGAGAGCAGGAATTGAGGTGAACGGAGACAAATTTAGAGAAGAAAATTGTTTCGGTCGCTACCCGGATTCGAACCCGGGACCGTTTGAATGAGAGGCCAACACCTTAACCTCTAGGCCACGAGAGCCCCCCTTTTTTCCCTGGAGACAAACAGTTCGCCATAGACGACACATGATTCGATTTATAGCGCTATTCACCCACTGTCAACTACAGCTCAACTCAAATGAATTGTCAATGTTTTCTGCATCCATTGACGATATTAAAATTTAGATCTTTAGAAAGCGGGCTGCTTCGGCTTACCTGTCAAGGCTAACCCATGTTGAATGGGATACGACACTGATAAATTATTGCTTTGATGGCATTGGAATATCTTATTATCTACCTTTCTGTTTATTCTTCCACTCATGCATCCATCCTTTCTCCCATTTACCTATCCACCCAAATGCCCGTTTTTCTGTCTGTCTCTCTATGTGTTTGTCTTTCAATCTATCTGTCTGTCCCTCTACTTATTTATCTGTCTGCCTATCTATCTATCTATCTGTCTGTCTGCCTGTCTGTCTGTCTGTCTATCTATCTATCTATTCTGTCTGTCTGTCTGTCTATCTATCTATCTATCTATCTATCTGGAAGTCTCTCTGTCTGCCTACTGAGGACACAACGAACGCGTAAGTGAAGTTGACGCACTCTTCCGGCCCACTCTACTTCACGACACAAGAGAAACCCATTAAGCACTCACCTTGCTGCGCGTTGACTTTATTGTCACTGATTTCCACACGGGCCGGCGATTTAGGCGGGGTCTTCAGAACTGTCTGGATCTGATAGTGTCTGTTGAAGGACGAGTGAGCAGATTTTGAGTTAGCTACACAAACATGCATTCGTCGGCAAAAAACAAACAAAACAACAACAACAAAAAACCCCACCATACAAAAGGGACAGCTATAGTTGGATACACAAACATGCAGAACAATTTCTTTATTCGTTCGATTTTTATATATTTTTTAGTAAAGAGCACAATAATGGTGATTTAGTGCAGTGCTGGGAAAAAGTGTAAGACAGACAGACAAAAACAACAAAGGGAAAGTAAAGAAATAGGACCTACCAGTGACGCCCTCCAACCACCCGCAACACGCAGAAGAACAGATTACAATGGATATTCAATTTCCAAACAGACGACAATGTCATACATAATTACATACAATACGGTAGAATTTGAGCCAGTTTTAAAAAAGCTTCATTGACATTACGTGATGGTAATGGTTGATTTGAACTGTTTTACGTCAACCCTGTCAAAATTTAGATCACATAGGAGAAGGGCTGTTTCCACTCTGCTAGTCAAAAGCAATCTTGGCTGAGAGGCATGCTGAGAGGCATGCTGCATCTCAGCAGACCGACGGGGTTTGTTTGTTTGTTTGAGCAAACAGAAGCACATGGACACAAAAATGGGTCATTTCGTGTTGGGGGAAAAGCAAGACGGACACAACAGAGGGAAAGTAAAGACGTAGGACCCAGCAGTGGAGCACACCCTCTAACCACCTGCAAAGACACGGGGACAGAGCCAATAAATAAGAACATTCGTCGTGCATGATGCTTTTCTCAGGGACACACCATCGATCAGTTTTAGTTTTAGAAGAGGTTTTACGGCGCTCGCGACTGCATAAGGTCATATAAGCGCCAGAAGATTAGAGGTGTTGCAATTGAGTAACAGACATAAAAAAGAAGAAGGGGAGATAAAGACGATATGTGTTTGATAGGAAAGAAGAAGCAAACCACACCAGAGCACCCGCCAACCACCCACGTCGATCAAGCTGAGCCACGAGCTCCGAACCCGAAATCTCGCCGTTACTATTCCGGTTGTCTAACCACTGGACTAACGACACCACAGGCAAAATTACAATTTAAAAAAGGCTAATGTGTCAAAACAGGACATGCTATTGAAGAATATATTGTTGGATGGAGGTAACCTATAGCATACGACGACAGACAAAGAAACTAGATCGATTTTAGTTAAGTTTTAGTAAGCGCTTTACGGTACTTACGATGGTATTAGGTCATGTAAGTGCCGAAGATTAGAGGCGTTACAAGAGAACAACAAACACAGAAAGAAGGCAGGTGAGATAAGTACGATGGATGTTGGATACGAAAGAAGGAGCAAACCACACCAGAGAACCTATCAACCGCCCACAAAACCGGTTTGTTGGGAGAGATTTGGAAAAAACCTGCTTCGAATCAAATGCGGTGTAGCTGGCTGTGGAACAGACAATGAAGACAGACAGACAATCACACGGACAGACTAGGGGGCAAACAGGCAGACCATCCAAGCGACTTACAGACCAACCAATCAGCCCCCCGACTGAGTTTGAGTTTGAGTAAAGGGAAGCATATTGACACAATACTGGTCATTAAGTGCTAGGGTAAAGTAAGCCAGACAGACAAGCCAGAGGGCAAGAAAAGAAGGGGGGCCTACCAGTGGCGCCCTCCAACCACCCACTACGGCTGAGTTTGTTTCTTCCTTTGTTTGATTAGAAAGAAGCACATCGACACAATAACGGTCATTCAGCGTAGCGAAGAAAATATAACAGACAGAAAGAAACAACAGAGGCAGCAAAAAAAAAAAAAAAAAAAAAAAAAAGACGAAGTGGCGCTCTCCAACCACCCGACCACCGACTGGACAGCAAACCGACAGTAGACGGACATAAGAATACACCAACCACCATCCTCAAAGCCCAGGTCCTCGAGGGGCCAAGAATGACGTCTAATCAGAGGCAGAGGAAGAAATCCCTAAGATGAGGGCTTTCTAAAAGCGGATTTCCACGACGAGAAACTGGGACAAGGAGCAAAGAAACGCCAATCAGTCATCATAGTAGGGCTATGATCAATACCCGACCCCCAAGCCCCCCCTGGCCTGTCGCGTTAAACCGGGCTAAACACACCGACACAGGACGGGGACAGGGGGCACGGCGCGGACAATGACACATTCTGTGTTAGTAAACCGTTTTACGGTACTTACGACACAATTACGGTGTATTATAAGAGGTGAAGATTAGAGGTGTTGCAAGAAAGCAACAAACACAAAACAAGAAGGAGGAAAGATTATGATGACAGACGTTTGATAGAAAAGAAGGGGCAAACCACAATAGAGCACCCACTAACCATCCAAGCTGACATGGTAACATTTTTTCAAAAATTAAAAAAAAAAATAAAAAATGTAAAGAGATATGATAGTCAGGAAAGGCCTGACTCCGACGTTCTTTGTGGATAAACGGGCGATGCATGTTTATTAAAATCAACTGCCATTATCTTGAGATAAAAATTTCTACTCGGTCCAATTATATATCTCTCGACTACTTCGCAGGTGGAAAACAAAGATCAGAAGCAAAAGACTCTCCGTTGGATTGAC